TTTTATTTCTTAGCTTTTCGCATGGTTTTAATTGCTTATGGCATTTTGTGTACTTTGTAGACTTTGTCAGCGGAAGCAAACCATGTTGCCTTCAGTATTTAGTGTCGGAGAACCGCAGCCTTCTTTACAACGCCCACAATAGGGCTAAAGTGCCACCTGCTGTAAAACGAATGAAATGATTAGCTCAAGATTCGTTCACGACTCGTTCATTTTACTGTTCGAGAGTCAAAGATTCGAAACAATAAAAAGAGTTGGTCTTCCCATCACTAGAGCTGATGGCATTTCCCATATCACAGAAAGAAGGCGGGGCGTCTGTAAGAAGAGAGACGGACCGAGTGTATGAAAGCTGGTAAATATTTTTGAACTTTCATCCCACTTGCTGATGAGTTATGTAGTGTCTTTGTCTGGGTGTTGTGGCTGTGTACTGTGTTATTAGTGCTGCCATTAAGATACAGTGTATTATATGCATATGCTCCAAGTGGATTTGTTACCTTGGTCAGTGGCAGAACCACTGAGGTCACTGTACAGAACACCCAGCAGCAGCAGAGAAATGTTCTCCAGAAAGAGCAGGACCTCCTTGACCAGACTGTGGTTCAGAGTGTCATAGATATGAACAGGTGACTCAATCACACACCTCTGGAGCACTGACAACATATTCATGAAACAGTTCATGATACTATGTATCGATACAAATATCAAATGACAACAATTTCAATTATTAACTTATTAACTCACTCGGCATGAACATGGATCTGAATTTACAACCAAAAAAAAAGCCAATATCATTTAGGTAAACATCAAGACGATAAGAATATCTATAAGACTATAAACAGACACCCATTAAACTGTTTTTTGATGGTGACGTCAGAGGAGGAGGAAGCAGCCTTAAGTTCAAGTGCACAGGGAGAGTACAGCTAATCCTTTTATTGTGGTAGCAGAGACAGAACAACACCCACAGGGTACTGTGGTAGAACACATACAGTGCTTGAACTCAGATTTGGTTATGTTACTATTGTCATATATAATTAAGTAAATTACCATACTGTAATAGCCTCCATTTATTAACCCCTGCAAATGCTAACCATCACCAGGATCAAGGCACAATGAAGGAAAATTGATTTAAATTTCAGTAGTTTCTTTATTACTGCCGAAGTAGATAAATGCACTAATCAATACATTTTCTTTCTCTGTTAAATCAGAAAGGAAAGATTTGTAGGAATTCTAGCATTGAAAGAAAATAAAGTACAGGGGAGTTCTAAGCAATAGCCATAAATGAGTTGATGTGTAAGGAGTGTTGAGAAATAGCTATACAGTAAACCCTTGTTTTTCGCGGGGGTTACGTTCCAAAAAGAACCCGTGATAGGCAAAATCCGTGAAGTAGAAATCTTTATTTTTTTTACAATTAAATACTCAGAAAAAGAAGAGAAAGAACGAACAAACCATTTTACAGTCTCAACCATTTGTTTCACAAATAAAGTAAAATAATAGTACTTTAGAAACGTTTCAACAAATAACTTCTGTAATGTACTGTCAAATAATAATTTTAATCATCAACGTGAACAGAAGGCTTCAAATTGCGGAGATTAGCACCGCCCACCGTGAACGGGAGAAAATTAAAAATGATTATGAAAAAAATACAAATTACCTGAACAGTCGGATAAATAGTGACTCAGCTTCATTAATTCCATAATGCCGACCTACAGCCGCATAGCTTTTACCTTCATTTAGCATGTCCAATAGTTTTACTTTATTACCGATAGACAGCATCTTCCGCTGCCTTTTGGTCCCGACCGCAGGTACTTTTGCCGGTCCAGAGCGTTTTGTCGACATTATGGGGTTTGATAAACTCGAAATTGCAAGAGAATTTGCACGTACGTAATGTCAATTTGGCAAGCTGTTTTACGTACGTGTACATATTAAACCGCAACGTTATTGGCGCACAGGTAGAGAAGAAGCGGAGTGACTTTTTAGCCAATCAGAATGCAGAACACAATGCACGATGCAAATCCGTGAAGTAGCGAAACCGTGAAAAGTAAACCGCGTTATAGCAAGGGATCACTGTATCTACAAAAGGGAGATGCTGCAAAAAATGTTTGGGAGCCACTGCTTTAATAGCAGCCCTTATTTATCCTATTTATAAATTCTTTACAAATGTCAAAGATCTCACCATGTATTGGTTTGGTTTTGGCAGCCAGCATCATATCTGCCTTGGCTGTGTGATAATGTTACTCCAGCTCCTTCACCAACTGTTTGACCCTGCAGGAGGCTTCGGTCTTTTCATCACTGTTGACACCATCAACGCTGATCTGGCCGCAACCTTCAGGTTAGTCTGCTGACCTACAAACAGAGCAAATGTTCAATGCTCAATCCCTGACAGATGTCATGTTGACCAAGGATATGAATGAGGTGGGGTTTACTTCAGAAGGAGGACCTTCATCATTAGTGCTCCCATCTGAGCCTCATGCACGCGAGTACTGCTCAGAAGCTGTTTGGTTTGTCGGAGCAACACTTCACCGACATCATCTGGAAAACTGTTTGGGAAAAATCTTAACAATATCCCAGCTGAGAGCTCTCAAATCTGGAAGAGAGAAGAATTTTTTTTATCTAAGTTCTCTTCAATTTCATTATGGATGATTAATACAAACACATAGTAAGGATAGTGAAAGTTGCTTCACCTCATTTGTAGAATCTTCTAGACAGCTGATGAGGACCTGCTGTTTTGCCCTGTTAAAGAAATCACTTGCACAGCCAATGAGAGACGCCATATTTGCTGCAACAAACCCATAAAACACATTACAACTTCAAATTAAATAAAACACAACCCATTACAGAACCGTTTTTTTTAACTAGAGTTGAAAAACTGCAGTTTTCCAAACTGACATGGAGGTTGTCCTTTCTTCTTGTCTGGACTCCAGATGTCTGTGCAGGTCTCCAGGACAGCAGACAGCAACACAGTCTTCTTCCTCTGATAACTGTGTCCTGGGGCCAAATAGCTGTGTGGAAGATGACTCAACATCTCCACAAAGTCTGCAGAGTAGGACCATAAGGCAGAAGACAGAGTTTAAAAAAAAAAAGCAAAATAAATAAAAAGGATGTCATAAAGGTAGATGTTTTAGCCTTTTTTATTAACCTTTTCATTAAGCATGGGAGTTGATTTGGGCTTGACCAACACATTAAAAAATTGAGATGGGATTTGAACCAGCAGTCATCTCATCACAAGTCTAATCAGTTAAGTCCCAGACCAGAAGAAGGAGTGCTAGTAATCACTGGGTCCTCTCTAACATCCTCCATCTGCTACTAATTTCCATTTGGCAGGAATTAAAACAGTAACTCACTGAGAATAATTAGGTTATAAATAAATAAGAAAAATGTTCTGCCATTTTTTTGCCAAAATAATTACAAGCAAAATATGTGCACTGTTTAAACCAGGAGTCATCAACGTGGTGCCCGTGGCGCATGTTCTAAAAATAAAACCAGTCAACAAGAGGGGCAAAAACTGTTGCTGTGCTTTTTAATCAGTTACATTTGCAATGGCGATGGTAACAAGAGTGTCTGCTATTGTATGTCCCAAAAATTATTATTATTACACTTTTCAGGAAGTCTGTATCAAACAGTTAGATCTTCGTGTTACTAAGTGCCCTTGAAGGTTTCAAAAAGGTTGGTGACCCCTGGTTTAAAATAAAAGTCAAGTAAAAGAAAGTCCAGTAAATCACTTTTTTGTTAAATTGTTAAACCACATTTTCTCACCTATTCCCTGCTCCAGTAAATCATGTGTCCTCCCAGAACAAGGGCTTTCCTCTTTGTTTTCGCCCTTCTGTCCTCTGACCAGTGCCAAGCAGCTGCCTCGGCTATGAACCAGGAACTTCTTAATACTGGTCTGAAAATGCTGGCGAAAAAAGGTGAGGACTCACAGTTGAGGTTCTGAGGAATAAACTCCCTCATGAACATCATCTCCTCTGTGGTTGGACTGTCTTTGATCTTGGGGCTGCAGCAGAGGAGGTTGAGAGCAGCCAGACGAACTTTGTAGTCTGCAGATCCCAGAGCCAGATGGAGGGTTCAGCGGGTGGAGCCAGAAGATGAGTGACGGCAGATGGGAAGTACAAGGTAATAAGTGTGTCGCACTGTTGTTCTGTAAAAGAGTCACATCAGACGTCAGGGCCTCGTGTAGGACCGGCCTCCAACGTTTTGCCCACACATGGGTTATGTCCAGTTCAGTGTGCTTATTGGATTTTTGTGAGTTTTCAGGTTCTCTCCTCTGCTGCTGGATCAAACTCTTGTAAAGCTCTGATCCACATGGTGAGAGGTGATTGGTTGACAAGCACTCCAGGAGATGACTGGGTAAATCCACATAATGATCCAGAACCTATTACATCAAATTAAAATGACTCAAAATAACTTGTGACTTCACTGAAACTTCAACCTCACCGTGTCAGTACCCAGGTATGGCAGTAAAGAACAAAGGTGATAATATTTGGCGTTTGATTCCCAAGGTAAATGGATTATTTGCTGAAGCAGACTACAGAGTCTTCATGTCACAAAAATTCTCACAGTCCATCTTATAGATGTCCAGCAGCAGGGAGAAAATACTGCGCACAGATTTTGACACACCATCTACCTGCATAGGTGACAGAAACAGGAGTGACCATGGCAGGACATATTTTTGAAATTAGTTCTGTAAAATCAGGAAAATAAAACAAACAACAAGACTTATTATTAAGGTATATTAAACAATTTGTGATCTAAACAGAAAATGTTGTTTATGAAGTAAAATGCACTGGGTTGGAAGAATTCATCAAACTTAACATAATCAAATGTATCTCTACATTACTTTTATAATTAAAAAAAAACCCAAACCTTTTCATGCAGGCTACCAGGTTGACATTTTGGTTTGGTTAAAGTCACAATTATTTAATACATACTCTACTCATGCTACATAAATATTCATCGTCTTTTAATCAAATTACTTTTTCCTTGTAACATTTTTCTCCGCTTTCACATCAACCTTTGAATATTAAAAAATAATGTTAGTCTTCTAGAAGAAGACTGTGACTGGTAATGATAATGAAGTCAAACAATAACAAAGAGAAAGCCATACTGTAAATCCAAAACAGAAAAAAGAAAACTGTAGGTTTTTTGTTAATAATAGTAACACTGTGTCATGGGACTTACTGAACTTCCTGCATTGGTCCAAACAATGTCAATGAGCTTCTGCTGGAGGCTGTTGTTTGCAAAAAGGAGACTGACTCCTCTCTTCTGCCATACTGTATGTCAGCCAGGCATTCTTTAACTCTTTTCAACCATAAAGCTAAAACTGTAGCTGTGTTGTATATGAATATGAAGGTATCATTCATCAGACACATTAATGATCATTCTGTGGGTTACACACCTTCAAAGGCCAGGTAGTGACACTCCAGCTTTTCTTCACATAGAGCCCAGACCAGAGGGCACAGGCCTTTTAGCAGTAAACACTCCTGAAAAAAGAAAAGTGATGAGACCAAGTAAAATCACGTTTTGTTGTTAATTTTAATGATACGTCAGTTTACATCAGTGGCATCCTCATTAGAACTGAGTAGACCGTAGACCAGTAGGGTCACGATGACAGTCGTGACTGTCGTTCCCTGTGTTTCCCTTTGTTTTCCCCATTCTTGTATTGTGCACTTTGTCTGTGTGGTACACTCTGCCTGGATAATCACCGAAGCACACCTGCCGTTCCTCAGCACCTGCCTTCAATCAACCCATCACTCGGCATAAAAACCCTGGCCTTTCTCCCACTTATCGTCAGATTGTTTGTTCAGCTACTGTGGTAGCTAATGTCCCGATTTACTTTAACTATTGTTCTTTGTGATTCCTGTTGATTAATGAAATGATCTTTAATGACTGCTCTTCTTGTGCTCAGGTCCACCTCTTGCTACCTGCTTGCCTGCTCTCCACCAGCCATATCCGGACAGCCTACACTCTGTAACTCCTCTATCTCATTATTGGACCCTCTTCTTCCCCTTTGTCCCCACAGCAAAATAAATCCTTATTTCTCACTTAACGTCGTCTGAGCCTCCATTTTGGGTCATTACCAGTTTAAATCATGACAAGTAGGCCAACAACAAGTCAGAAGACCCCTGCTCACAGCCAGCCTTCTCACTGTGTCTCCTCATGATACAAGAGAGCGCCGTATCTGCAGACCACCAACAGTCAGCAACCAGAGCTCTGAGAAACAGCACACAAAACTCATCTGATATCAATAGTCGAAAGATTTTCTAAAGACTAACAAAAGTGAGAAAATCTTCATGAACAGAAACTATATGCATTTACTTTAAAACAGCATGGGTTCCATTTGGGGACAAACTTCAAAACATACGTAGCTGATCTTTACTTACCCAGTTCAGCAACCTGTAGCAGACTCCATGCAGAAGCTGTGGTGTCTCTCCTCTCTGAACCTGTTAATCGAGCTTTTTGTTGTAGCTGTTCCTAGTCGATTCCTGAGCAAGTCTGTTGCTGTGCTTTGAATCTTGAAATAAACTACCTGCACCAGTCCTGCATTTGGGTCCTGCCTGCTTCTTGCCATGTTGATGGCCAATCATGACATAATTACTTAAACAAAAGTAGGCAGGTGCATAAATTTGGGCACCCTTGTTGTTTTATTGATTTGAATACCATCCATCCATCCATCCATCCATCTTCAACCGCTTATCCGGGGCCGGGTCGCGGGGGCAACAGTCTGAGCAGGGACACCCAGACTTCCCT